CTCAAAGGCCAATGTGTTGGAAGCATGTTCCTTAGCTTGGTCACAGGAGCACACCCTTTAAGAAAACAGTGGAACATCAGCTCCCTCCACTTCCTTCACTTCCTCAGTACTACGAGGTAAACATCTCCCTCATCCGCTCTCTACCATGATGTACTGTTTCACCATGGCCCCCAAACAAGCCAGCAGGATGGATGTGGGCTAATAGCTACAAAACTCTTAGCCAATGTAAAACTTTTCTCCTAGTTTGTTTGTTTGTGACTCTGTGAATTGAACCTAGGATCTTTTGTATTGAGCTACATCTCTGACTCCTTTTTGTTTTGTCCTGAGGTCTCACTGAGTTGCTCAGGCTGGGTTCAAGCTTGTGATCCTACTGTGTTAACCTTCCAGGAGGCTGGGATTACAGGACTGTGCCAAATCTATCTTTTATATCTTGATTATCTCAGGTATTTTTTTTTTTTTCGGAATCAGGGATTGAACTCAGGCCCTTGCGCTTGCCATGGAAGCGCTTATTCCACTGAGCCATCTCCCCGGCCCTTCAGGTATTTTGTAACAATAATTGAAAGCTGAGTAAAATGGACAGCTACTGTGTCACTAGGGGATAGAAATTTTTAGCTCCATTACAATCTTACAGAAGCACTGTCATTTGTGTGGCCAATGACCACTACGTTATTATGAAGAACATACCTGTAATTCATACTAAGCATGGTATGGATGGCACACATCCAAAGGAAAAATTAGTGAAATGAAAGGCAAATTTTAAAAATCCAGGGCTGGGGTATACAGCAGCATGGTGACTGTGCCTGGCAAGAGCAAAATCCTGAGTTCAATTCCCAGTACAAAAAAAAAAAAAAAAAAATCCAGACCAAAACATGATTTTTATTTTTCTAATTAACATGTAAAAAGCTCTTATATTTGCCTTTTGGTGTGAAAATGCTGGTACTAGAATTTATTTACAGGTTTTTTTGAGATAGAGTCTCGCTATATAGTTCAGGCTAGTTTTGAATTTACTATGCAGCCCAAGCCGGACTTGAACTTATAGCAATCCTCCTGTCTCAGCCTATCAAGTACTGGGATTACAGGCATGGGCCACTTCGCCCTGATGGTTATTTAAGTGGAATTCACATTATATATAGTCATTTTAAAGGATACAGTTCAGCTGGGCATGGTGGCACATTCCTGTGATCCCAGAACTTCAAAGGTTGAAGCAGGACAATCTCAATTTGAGACTAGACTGGGCTACAGGACTGCATAGTGAGATTAAACAAACAAAAACAAAACAGTATTTTATTATGATTAGGTTTGGCCTAGTTCTTTGTTTTTTGGGTACCAGGAATTGAACTCAGGACCTTGTGCTTACCAGGTAGGCACTTGTGCCACTGAACTATATCTCTCTCTTATACTGAATCAAGAGTGGCACAGTTTTTTGTTTTGCATCAATGTAGATTAAGTAGGTCATCATCTGTCTTGGTTACTTTTCTCTCCTTGCTGAGACAAAATACTTGATGCCTGAATTTAAGAAAGGAAAGGCTTATTTATCAGTTTGTAGAGGTTTCAGTCTATATCCAGCTGGCTGTAAGGCAGTGTGACTTGGCATAAGGGCAACAGTTTAAGTCAGAAGACAGCAAAATCATCAAGAAGTAAAGTGGGGGCAGGGGCTGTTGTGGTGGCCCACACCTGTAATCCTAGCACTTGGGAGGCTGAGGCAGGAGGATCATTGAGAGTTCCAGACTAGCCTGGGCTACAAAGTGAGCTTCAGGCCATCCCTAACTCCATAGTGAGACACTGTCTCAAATAAGGGGGTGGGGTGGGGGCAAGTTCCTTTGCCTCCCTTATATTTTATGCAGGCTACCAGCCCATACCATCTCCTGCTTTCCTCTTGCACAGGCTCAGGATGTTTACTGACTAAGGACCCTTGCTGAGTCACTTAAGCTTCCAAACTTCTCAAGGTGACACAATGTATCATCCACAACAGTCACCAAGAAGGTATGGATTTTCCTGATTTCATTAAGACTGTGAATTAGTCAGAAAAGGCTGAAGTTAAGTGCCTTATAGCACTGTTTCTCATTTCTTGTTCACCCTACATGTCTAATATGTGGTGGTACAGGAAGGGGCTGGCTCATCAGAGCTATTCAGGCTAATGGACAATCACCATCTCCAGAGGTGACAGGAAAAGTTTCAGTTTTTAAAAAATTTTTAATGTACTTAGTACAGGGTCTACAGGGTCTCTCTACATAGATCAGAGTTGTAGTGATTCTCTTGTTTGCAGCCTCCCAAGCACTGGGATTTACAGGCACGTGCCACTACTGGGGGCAGGCTGGCACCGCATGCTGGGGATCCAAACGGCCACTGCGCGCTGCCTAGGCAGGCGCTTTAGTATGCTGAGCTATCTGGCTGGCCCCGATAGACCATTTTTAAATTGGGGTATCTTTTTTTTTTTCAAAGTTTTATTGATAAACAGATAGCAATGAGACAGTTTCAAATCAAATCGGAAGTACAGTTGCAACAAATAATACACTGCATATATTCTTCTTAGTGGTTAATTGCTGTACAAGATGCAGACTTGTGATCCTATTTACAAACACCATTAGAACAAATCATTCTATTCATTAAGAGAATGCAACTATATATCTATCCCAACCACTTTGAATACACAGATACAAAATGGACATTCATAGGTATGCCCCATTTTTTAAAGTTCCGTTATTGAATATTATAGGTGTGTAAACTCAGCAAAATATTCTAAAAGAGTCCAGTAGCCCATAATAGCATTGGGTCTTCTGTTTAACTGGCAATGTCAGAAATTATTGACCTGGGTCCCCCACAGCTCAACTTAACAGCATGGCTTTATTTCCTATATTTCGTCTTCATACTTTTCTACTGGATGGTTAAGACCAAGGTAAAGCAGGACCTATGCAACAAGAGTTGTAGCTTTTTGGTCTGAGAAGGTCAGTGAAATGCCCTCAGGATTTATCCTGAGATCCTGTACCTCAGATTGTAGAACCTTTGTCAGTGTCAGCCATGTGGATGAGTCACGGCCAATGCTTGGCCAATGTGCTCTCTGTGAAAGCCTGAGAGAGTGTCTTCTCCCCATGTGACTCTCCTTAGGCACACTCTATGTCATCGATCACTTTCCTCTTTGGCCCCATAATCTTCTTGATCAGAAAATTTGGGACACTACCGAGGTACATGACGTTACAGTACAAGTTCTCATATGTCCTGAGTCTTAATTGACCTTAGAAGGCTAGGGCCAAAATGTTGGCTTTCCTTGTAGCCCTCCTTTTTCTCTAATTTTGGTCTGCAAACTTAGGTTGTTAACCATCCAGAAGACAAGCTTATTGCTATTATCAAACGATTTAGGCTATCAAGCTTAACCTCACTATCTCACTGCATTTCAAACATCTTAGGCATAATAAGGAACAGGTATTTTTCATCAAGTATTGATATGTTGAACTTTAAGTCCCTACATAATATGATAAAAAACACTTAAAAATTAGATTATATTTTAAAAATAGGATAAAGAATTCTATGCTTCTCATGTTTGCACATAAGTCCAAAAATCTCATCATATACAACCTTGAAGCAGGACAGTCCCACAATATTCCTTTTCCTGTCTCTTGCTTTCATTCACCACCTAAATTGGGGTATCTTTTTTGTTCAGTTATATCACTCTTTTATATTCTAAATATTAGATCATTACCAAATATTTTATTTGGAAATATTTCTCCTATTCATTAAGTTATCTTTTGAACATTAAAGAGACAACTTAAAAATTTTGATGGTCTTTTTTCAATTTTTTTGTTTTTTCTTGAGACAGTGTCTCCCTATGTAGTTCCGGCTGGCCTTGAACTCACTATGTAGCCTAGGTTGGCCTCCAATTCTCAGTGATCCTCCCACATCAGCCTTAAGTCCTGGAATTACAGGTGTGCACAACCAGGCCAGACCAATTTTTCAAAGCTTTCTTCTCCCTTGGTGTAACATCTAAGAAAATATCACTTCAGCCAAGTCATGAAAATTCGTTTCTATTTTCTCCTGAGTTTCATACTTTAGTTCTTCCATATCGTGTACTGTGGAGGTAGAAACTCAAGTTCATTCTTTGGTGTAACATCTAAGAAAATATCACTTCAGCCAAGTCATGAAAATTCGTTTCTATTTTCTCTCTCTGAGTTTCATACTTTAGCTCTTCCATATCGTGTACTGTGGAGGTAGAAACTCAAGTTCATTCTTTTGCAGGTAGTGTTCCATTCATCTCAGTACTAACGAAAAACGATTCTTTTTTTTTGGGGGGGGGGGAGGGAACTGGGGATTGAACGCAGGCCCTTGCGTTCGCCAGAGAAGCACTTATTCCACTGAGCCATCTCCCCAGCCCCGAAAAAAAAGATTCTTTCAATAAAGAATTTTGGCATTCTGGTTAACGTAAATGTTAGCGCTTATTGACTTATTTCTGCATTCTAAACGACTCATTTACTTCCATCCTTATCTCCCACGGATATTCTGGGAGAACCATTGTGCTTTAAAAACAGACCTTTTAAAATCCAAACCCAACAATTTCAGAATTGGCTCCTCCCCAGGAATTGACAAGTTTCAACTGCATCTTTCGGTTGGTGGCCAAGAACACTGCGTCCAGAGCGGTTGTTTTTTTGTTGTGGTTGTAGCCTCGTTGCACGCTGCAGGAGGCGATTCACCTAAACGTTAGCTCCAGCAGAAGAAAGGCAAGCGCTCGACGCAAACTGAGAGGTCTGGGAGCCAGGCGGGAGGAAACAAAGAGGTACCTCGGATGACTTTCACAAATCGGCAAAGTGTGGGAGAGAGATGGCCAGGCGGCCAGCAAGGGTGCGAATACGAGGGGGCGGGACTGCCTGGCCCGGCCGGGCCCAGACCTTGGCCTGCTTTCGGCAGAGGAGAGGCTGGGGGTCGCAGCACCCTGCGAGGGCCCCGCGCGCGCACGCGCCCTGCCGCGGGCCACCCTTCTCTGCGCGCCGCCCTGCCCGCTGCGCATGGCGGAAGTGACGCGAGGCGTAGCGGAAGTCGCTTCCTCTGTAGTGTTGTGCTGTGAGGTAGGTAGACGGGATTGTAAACGCCGGAGCGAGAGAGGTTTTTGCCGCCCCGAGGCCGCTGCTGTGCGGAGACCCGGGGGAAGCCACCATCGCCATGTCTGATCAGGTACTGGTTGGCAGCCTCCCGCAGGGGCGGCCAGGATCGCAGTCCGCAAGCCCGCCTATCCTCGGCAGGGGCCGGGATGGAGGCCGGGGGAGGGGCGCGCGGCCCGGGAGGGGGCGGCGGCGCGGACGGGCCGGGAGGTGCGGCGGGAGCTAGTAGGCGGGGACCCCCGCCGTCGCGCCCCCGAGCCGCCGCGCCTCCGAGCCGCCCCGCCGGGCTCGCCGTCACCCGGCCCACCGCCCGGGTCGCGGCGGCCTCCCTCACGCCGTCCCTTCTTTCTCCCGGGTGGACCAGGTGCCGAGCCCCTCTTCGCCTCCTCCTCGGACCCCTGGGGAACACGTCCGATGGCCCGCAGAGGACTGAGTATTGAAGCAGAACCCTAGGCCCGGTTATGTAACGGGAGAGAACCGCGGTCGCGAGGCCCTGTGGCTCTCCAAAGTGCCGGGTTTCTGCTTTGCGGTTCTTGGGGAGGGAGGGCGCGAGGGCCGCCGCCGCGTCCCGTGAGCCTGGACCGCGCTGTAACAGGCGCTCGGCGAGCAACCGGGCCCGGCCGCCGCTCTGGCCGCCGGAGCGCGGGGCTGTCGCCTCCTTTCTCTACTTTGTCGTTTCTTACTCAGGATTGGCTCATCAAGTCTCCAGTTGTAAGAGAGCACCCAGAATAACCGAAAGAATAAGTAGAGCAACACTGTTAGAATCACAAAACAGTTTCATCTGAGCGTTTAAGCCAAAGATGACCGGGAGGACAATTGTGTGCGTGCTGAGCAGCAGCAGAACCTTAGCGGACGCTGCCTGTTAATGGCAACGTTTTTCGTCTCAGTGTCGGTGTTAAGAATTTGCTTGGACTTTTTTTTGTGTGTGCTTGGGACTTGTATCAGTCAGGACTGATTTTCCTCGAAGTTTTCCTCGACCTATTCTACTTAACTGTGTTTATGGATAGTTTATTCTTTTTATTCTTTTATGGATAGGTTTTAATTCGTAAGGTCTTTTGTTTGCTTATATGACTTTACGTTTTTAAAGTAATTTTGGATCTTTTATTTGTTTAGTGATAGTTACTCAGAAAATGGTTTTTCATTCAACTCCAGGATGTACTTGAGCTTTTAAATTTAACACACTTATTCCCTTGGCTTTTAACCCAGTTTTGTTACCCCCCGTGCGAGCAAGACTTTCGTGGATTTCAACTGTAGAAAATATATATTCATATTTTAAAGAGTTATAATCTGTTTTTTTAAGTACTAGTTTTGGATGGGTTTACTTACTAATAGTCTAGGTTAAGTCCCAAAGCGGTATGGGAATGGCGTTATAAGTGTTTTTCAAAGGCAGTTATTTACTTTGTTACCAGGGAGGGAAGAACAGCTGTAAATGCTTAATCAGCTTTATATTTTGATGCTCAAAAGTAGCTGCGGGAAAGCATGTTGACATTTGTGGAAGCTTGGTAAAAGAGCAATATCCAGAAGGAATTAGGAAATAAGTTGTAGGATTATTTTTGCTTTAGTTTGAGGACAAATCACTTAGGAGTGTGTGAAAAGAGAAATAAAACATTCTTTTCAGGGTGTCTCTGAGACCAGAATTGTTCCCATGTTAGTGCTAGGACTTTTCTTTCATGGGTGTGAAGTTTTCTAGAAACTAACATAACCTATTATATCACGACAGATTGAAATGTAAAAGATGTGAAAATCCAGCTGCTTTCTATTGAGCCAGACGTGAGAAGACTTTGAAAAAATGTGAAATAGTTCTCTTTTCTCACTAATACTGTTTTGGAAAAGATTTTTAATAAAATGTTATTTAACATCTACTGGGTTTATTGTCATGATAAAATGAATAAACATTTAAAACATTGCTCAGGGCTGGTGAGATGGCTCAGTGGTCTAAGGCACGTACTTAGAACAAGTTTAGCAAAGCATCAGGGACCGCGGTTCAATCCCCCAGCACCACATGCCAGCCAGCCCCGCCCCCTGGTGGGCTGAGCTGGCCACACACACACACACATACACACACACAAATAAATAAATAAAAATTAAAACATTGCTCAGCTTCAGTGTTTAATACTCTAGCAATAAACATAATTCATAAAAGTTTTGAGGTTCTAAGTGATTTTTTTTTTTTTTTTTTTTTTTTTTTTTTTTGGCGGAACCAGGGATTGAACTCAGACCCTTGCACTTGCCTGGCAAGTGCTTATTCTACTGAGCTATCTCCCTGGCCCCTTGTAAGTGATTTTTAAGTGTGTCAGTCCAACTACCAAAAGGTTTGAGAACTGTTGGCTGGGCTGATTGAGCAGCACCATTATTGAGAATTATTATTAGGGCCCAGAGCAAGTTTAGTATTGGCTACTAAAAGACTTAAAGAGATCAAAAGCTCAATCCTTACTCTGAAGAGGTTTACAAATGAGAGCAAGAATCACATATTACTGTATGATATCTGCAATGTTAGACTGAATCCCTATCCCAGCAAGATAAACTTTAAGAGTGTAGTAGTCTCAGGGCTGGGGAGATAGCTCAGTAGAATAAGCGCTTGCCTGGCAAGCGCAGGGTCCTGACTTCCTGTTAAAATAGGTGGACCTTAGATTCACACGTTTTAATTACTGATTCACCATTGACTTATTTTTGGAGTTTGAGTGAAATACTTTACAGTTTTAACAGTCTTAGTATTGTCTAGTGGGTTTGTGGAAAACAGGTTCTAGGATTAATAGAGTCTGAGGGTATAGGATCTACTACACTTGCATGGAATGTTTTGTGAGAATGTTTGTGGAATTTTTTGGGGGGTATGTCTCTCATTGGGATACATGGCCCCCCAGAAAAGTTTTTGGTTTTTTTTTTGGAGGGGGTACCAGGGATTGAACTCAGGACCTTACTACACTTGCTAGGCAAGTGTTTGTGCCCCTGAGCTACATCCAAAGTTAAAACTCATCTTTTAACTGATTTTTCTCCTTTAGCCTATAATCTCATTTTATACAAAACTAAGCACTTACGTAGAACCAAAAACTTGATATCGAAAAGGTAAGGGTAATTAGTACTGATGTTTTTTCTCTTTTTTTTTTTTTTAAAGGAAGGAAGGTTTAATTAGCTCACAGTTTATGGGGATTTCAGTCCTTACTTGGCTGGCCCCTAGGCAGAATGGCCCATGATAGGGCAGCAGTTCTTCAGTTCATGGTGGCGGAAAACAAAAAAAACAGCAAGAGCAAAAAGAAACAGTGGCAGTAGCAACAGCGGCCTCTTTATTTTTATTTATTTATTTATTTATTTTTGGAGATAGGGTCTCGCTAGGCACTTCAGGCTGGCTGTGAGCTCACTTGGTAGCCCAGGCTGGTCTTGAACTTGGCAACAATCCTCTTGCTTTGGCTTCCCAAGTGTTGGGATTAGGTTGGTATTACAGGCCTGTGCCATCACACCTGGCTCCTCCTTTGTATTTTATCTTAAAGTGTTTCTTTTAAATATCACATCATCAAAGTATTTGGATGCAGCTCTTCTATTCAGGTCTGTTAATTAATAGGAATTGGATGACTGACTTGCTTCACTCTTACTGCCTTCTGCAATGACAAGGTTCCTTCAGCCTATCCCTTTCCAGAAAGAGATGATGGTTTCTTTCTTTTTTTTTTTTTTTTTTTTTTTGTGGTGGAATTGGGGATTGAACTTAGGCCCGTATGCTTGCCAGGCAAGCGCTTATTCTTTTTTTTTTTTTTTTTTTTTGCAAGTGCTTATTCTACTGAGCTATCTCTCATTAAATTCTTTTTATGAGAGATTTGGAAACATTACATAATTCTAGTTACCTGTTGTACCCTAACATGAAAATTCAATGGCCAAACCAGCCATCTTTTGCTTTGCTCATAACTGCAGTTTGGATAGGGCTCTGTGGCAGGACTCAGTTCTGCCTGTGATGAGAGGGCCTCTGCTGGATTTACACAGATAACTGGGCCATGAACAGCTGGGGATGGGGGAGTGTGAGATGGACTGGCTTTTCATAGTCTAAGGCTGAAGGATCTCTGGAGACCCCAGGGTATTGAAATTATTGTAGCTCAGGATTTACAGAGTATATTCCACGTGAACCTGGGTCCTGGAAATGACAAAGTTTTAGGATCTAGCCTTGGGTGTGTCTTCTGTGTTCTGTTGTTTGGTCAGTCAAATCCTTAAGGACAGCACAGACTCCAGCAGATATTTAGAAGACATTTAGATCCCCCCCCTTTTTTTTTTTTTTTTGGTAGAACCAGGGATTTAGACTCACATTTTTTCATGGTTGGAGTATCAAGATTTGAATTTTTCTTTAATCTGCGATGTAGTGTTTTTCCTGTCACCATTGGTCCCTTCATTGTTCTTCATACCTCCCTGTGGTTGATGTTTACTGATTTTAGTAATTTAGCTTGGGGTTGTAAGAAAATATGAACTGTGTGTTAAAATCCATAATTATGTATTCTATTTATGTGTATAAATAGAACCAGTATATTAAACTGTAGCTATACCTTGAATATGTAGTGATGTGTACCTTAGGCATTCTGTGCCCTAGGAGAACAATGATTTATTTATAGACATGAGGTACTGCTAGTGGATTTCATTTATTTATTTTTTTAATTATTTATTTATTTTTATTTATTATATTTATTTATTGTGTGTGTGTGTGTGGCCAGCTCAGCCCACCAGGGGGTGGGGCTGACTGGCATGTGGTGCTGGGGGATTGAACCGCGGTCCCTGTGCTTTGCCAAGCTTGTTTCAGGTAGGTGCTTTAGACCACTGAGCCATCTCTCCAGCCCCTGCTAGTGGATTTTATAAGCAGATTATAATAAAACACTTCAAAGAAAGTGTTGCTTAAACAATAAATCAGGACCTTGTCTCAAAAAAAAGTGATGGGGATGTAGCTAGGTGGGAAGATCAGGCTGGGTTCAATCGTAGATGGGTTTGTGTGTGATAGAGTCCTATTTTGAACGCAATATGATAATATTGTTGGGTTACTTGACTAGTTCATATTTCAAAACTGTAGAACATTTTTCAAATATATTATGATACTTTTTAGCCCCT